CAGCAGGTGAGTAGTTACAAGTGTGGTAGAGTTGTGGAAAGGGAACAAGAGGATACTAAGGAGGCGTCTTGCTGTGAAGAGACACCATGACCACTTATGAAGGAAAACATTTAATTGGGGCTGGCTTACAATTTCAGAGGTTTAGTCCATTATTATCATGGTTGGACATGGTGGCATGCAGGCAGACATGGTTCTGGAGAAGGAGCTGAGAGTGTTACATCTTGATCTGCAGGTAACCCGAAGTGAACTGAGTTCCACACTGGGCATAGCTTGAGCATATGAGACCTCAAAGCCTGCCCCCACAGTGACACACTTCCTTTAACAAGATTACACCCTCTCCAACAAGGCCACACCTAATAGTGCCACTTCCTATAGGCCAAGCATTCAAACACAAATGCGTCTATGGGGTCCATACCTACTCAAACCACCACAGGGGGTGAATTGCCAGATGTGCAATCTGCTGTGGGAGAGAAAATCCACCCCTTCAGAAGTGGTGGTTAAGCCAATACTTGAATGTAGAACTAGGTAAACTAGCTGGAGGTACAGGGGGGCTGAAGAGAGAACATGCCTGTTGAAAGGAAGAGACTGCATAAGACTCCCAAGTGGTAAGGACGTGGTGCTCTTGATAAATGTCTGCGCTGGCTGCAGGAGGCATGGAAACAAAAACCCACAGGGGCAGGCCTTTGGTGAGCTGGATATTAACTATATGGCCCCTGGACACAATGTCAAACAAGTTAAAGATAGAGTAAGCATCTTCTTTCCCACTGCTAGGTGCAGGAGAGAAGGCCTTTTTCTTGCCCGGGTGCAGAGGAGGAGTGATGATGCATCAGTTCAGGATGCAGACATGCTCTGCTCCTGCTTGCTCTGCTCCAGCAGTCCCTGGGGATTAAGAAAGTACCACCAGACTGTGGGCACCTGAAGGGCAGGAGCCCATCTGCTCTGTTTCCCCAGTTTCAGCACAGTGCCTGGCACTCAGGGTGCTCGGTGAGTGAGTACCTTTGCTGTAACCAGAGAGGGAGGTGCCCAGCATTTGCTTTTTTCTTGCAGTTGGCTGAGCCCTGGATACCCAAGAAGTCTCCGAAAGGCAGTCTTCTAAATGCCACTGAGCTGCTGCCTTTGCTCCCCTGTTTAACATCCTAGTGACAGCTGAGGATAGAGCCTGCCTAGGAATTCCTGTAGCCCAGTTTAAAAGTATGTACTTGTAGAATCAGAGAAAGCAGTGGTGGGTGGGTTGGGGAGGGTGGAAGAACAGAAAACATGGTCCCCAATCACACCCATTAAGCCATTTTCAATACTTTAGCATGCCAGATTATCATTAGTATTTTGAAAATGTGAAAATCATGTTTCATTACTTCAAAGGAAGAGATGATTCTTATTATAAATATGACACTTAAATAATCTCATTTCTTTAAAAAAATTTGCTCTTTGTAGTTGCCAACAATTACTTCTCCTCTTTCCTAGTTGACAGATAGCTACTTTAATATTCATTACAGTCTTATGTTATGAAACCCACGAGGTGAAAAGTGGTATTGGTTTGGGAGATGGAGTGGAATCCACAGCCTTTAATTTGACACCCAAAAGCGTTTCCCGTTACATGTTGAGATGGCTAACATCAATTGTAAACGTGACAGGATCTAGAATAGTGCTTCTCAACCTGCCTAATGCTGCCACCCTTTAACATACCTCCTCATGCTGTGGGGACCCCCAACCACAAAATTATTTTGTTGCTACTTCATAACTGTAATTTTGCCGTTGTAAATATCTGGTATGTAAGATATCTGACATGTATGTCATGACCCATAGGTTGAGAACCACTGATTTAGAGTCTCTGACAAACCTTTGTCTGTCTGGGGAGGGATCATCTACTTCAGGTTTATTGAGGCGAGGAAGGCAACCCTAAATGTGGGTACATTCATTGGTCTGGGTGCTTTGTAACAGTGGGGCAACTTACTTAGCCTTTCTGAGCCTCAGTACACACACACACACACACACACACACACACATACACACACACACACACATATTTATATTCATATATAAATGAAAATGATAAACCTATTTAATGGAATTGCTGTGAGTATCATATGAATATTCTATGTAAAATGCTTATATGGAACATTAGCACATTTTCTGGAAAATAATAAACAATACCTGATATCTTTTTTTGTTATAATAACCATTATACATATATGGTTACTGTAAGAATAACCATTGCTATTTTAAAAACTATTTTAAACCCCAAGTTTCTATTAAAACACTGTACAAATGTACTGAAAAGCAAATCTTGCAAGCAAAATCTGGATTCATTTTGCTATCAGTCTGCAGATGGCTCCCCCTGACCCCGAGAATGGCCTGATTTAACTTGCATTCTAGAGCATTCACAGGTGCCTATAGGGATGGGAATTCCTGTGTCTGTGTCTCATTTGTACCTAGTGATCCCATCAAGCAGGTGAGCAGTCATTTTGGCATGATACCAGCAAGTAGGTATTGAGGATTCTGGGACTTGATCTAGTCATAGACGTTGCATTTTGCACTCATGCTCTTTCTTGGAACAGCCTCATATTTATGACATGGACTGTGTGCTCAACACAAACTGGTTTGGGACTTCTGCTTAAACCTCTCATGTGGTGGGATTACAGGTGCATGGTGCACATGCACCTTTTGTCTGGACAATGCACCGAGTCCCCTGGGTTAAGTATGGATCTTCTCACATCCCATGCAACCTGCTGCCCCATGCCACTAAGGCTGTCAAGATAACTGGCTCACACGCCGTTAGGAAGAATTACCATGATCACTAATGGGTAGTTAGGGACAGTGTTCCAGTTTAAAGGCTTTCATGGGCCGTGAAAACTAGTGAGTAAATAAGCGTTTATCAGCCAGGCCCTTAGAGGACTCTGCATTGAATGATGTTCTAGGACTTCCAAACACATCTAAGTCATATATCATAATGGGGCATAAAAGTTAAGTGTGAGTAGGCTGTAAAACTGAACAAGTGTTTACCTTAGTGAAGGTTTTATTTACATGCCCTCCAGCAGACAGTTAAATGTGTGCTGCATACTGCTCACAGCTTCAAGCAGAGCTCTGCTAAGAGGCGCTGCACCAAGTTGAGGGTATAATTTCAGAGGTCCGGGAAAGCCTCTTTGGCCTCCTCCAAAACTCATTTTGCCTGCTTGATGTTTAAAATTTTAACACGAAACCAAAGCTGTAGCTCTCTAATTACAATTTGATTTGATACGTTTAGCATAGGCTCCATATAGCATACTGCTTAATGCATAAACAGCCACGTCGAGAGCGCCACAGAACGCTTTCATATGGGCAGCCTCCTTTCTTCTCAAATGCTCCGATCAGCCCTACTGCTGCCCCCAATTATGAAGAGGGACCTGTGACTTAGAGAAGTTAAACGAGTTGTTGGAGGGCACTGTCTGGTTATGCAGGGGCTGGAATCCTGGGTTCCGGATGAGCATCCTTGTCTGTAATCTTCTCTACTGCAGCTGACTCTTCCACTGGCCGTGCAGGCGCCAGTTTGGAAAAGGAAGAAATGTGACCTGGAGAGTGGGGCTCATCAGTCTTCCTCAGCTCTGCTCATCCAGGACAGGCCCTGGAGTCCCTATTCTGTAGTGTTTCCTGCCCACTCTTAGCTGATACTGCTCACAGCTTCTGGGTGCTGCTGAGTACCTACATATGTCCTCCAAGCTTGCTGAATTGAAGGCATCCGAATTTGTATGTATTGCTGGGATTTCTCCCCACCACCCTCCGACTCTTGTTACCACAGGGAGCTTCCGGAGACTCATTATTTCTTCATTCATTGAGAACATTTTTTTAACCGAGAACCTATTATCTACAATGCACACAATCCAGATGTTGTTTGACTGAGGGTCTCGAGACCTCTACACCTTCTCTGCCATGATGGACTGACTGAAACCGCCCTGAACTTGTTAAGCCAAAACCTTTCCACACTTCAGTTATTTCTATTGGACACTTTGGTTAGAACAACATAAAAATAACCCATGGGGCTTGATCCCCCTTGGTTAACAGTAACTGACAAAACACGAATCTGCCACATAGAAAGTGTACTTAGAGTAGTTTTGGAAAAATCCTTGATGAAACCTGATCTTTATAATCAAATAAAAAGAAGGTACAGTGGTGTGATCTGCCCGATGAGAAGCAGGAAGCAGAACTGGTTTTCTACAGCTCCCCTACTGGTGGACCACACGAACCATCTTAGTGGGACTGTTGTACAGAAGATGCTAGTGGCCAGGGTGGGTATGCTGTGGACAGAACATGGGAATTTCTTACTATTACCAAGATCTTGCTGGTCTTGACTCTAGATAAGTCAACGTGCCAGTGTCTTTTCTGAGTGACAGTCCATGAGCCAAAAAGAAAAAGAAGCGGAATAAGAAATGACCTTCAGCGAGTCACTGTTTAATGACATTACCTCCATTAGTGACAGTCCTTTCGTTTTACATATACCAATAGCGATACTTGAATGAGTTTTATCTGAATTTCTACTCTATTTATTTCTCTGCTAGCTTCATTTCTAAAATCACCTTTTCTGAATGACAACTCAATCAATTCAATAACATGCAATTTTACACAGTGGGAACCTATTTCTGTGTCCCTCCTCACACTTGTAATTGCCGGCTGCTTTCCTGAACAGCCTTGTGGGTTCCGGAGTTATTTTCTTCTCCAGGCTCCTGAGGGGGACCGGCGCTGGGAGATGGACACAGTTCTGACATGAGGCTGAGACGTTCTTCTCTTCCCCATTCCTCCACATGACTCTCCCGTTGGTCACACCGGAGCAGCCAGCCTGTGCCCACTCTCCCATCGGTTCAGTTTGTTAAGGAGCCATCAGGTCCATCAGCTCCGTTTTAGACGCTTTGTGAAATGCTGGGACTCCGCCCCCCCCCCCCCCCCGCCCCCACGTTGTTTCTCAGGTTTTGGAATCCCGCCAAGGTAAATGAAGGTGAAATGAACGTGTGCATTTTGGCTTTGTTTTTCAGGGCTCAGTGAAATGATAGACAGGACTGTATACTAGAGGAAGGAAAGGCGAGATGGGCTGCTGCACACATTGGTTGATCCAGAGAATCTGCGGGTAATGAACTGGAAAAGAAAAAAAAAGACCCTTCGGACTGAAAATTTGAATCATTAAAAGCTTCGGAACCAACAGCTTCTTTTAGAATTTCAGTCTTCTCTGATTTGCTGTGTGAGTCAGTGCTATAGTGGTCTGAGCCACAGGCCAAATTGTCAATCAAAATGAGCAGGGCTTGTTCATGGCCTCTGTTGTTTCAGAGATTATATTAAACACTTTAAAAGGCTGCAGTAGCTCTTCCAGGGCACCAGAGTGGTCATCATGCCACACTTCTCCCTGGACTTTCATTGATTTAGAATTTGCATTTCTCATTATTTGCAAACGACCCTCTGGGTTCAAAATTTGTATTATAATTTGTATTTTTACTGAAGCATGAATTAGAATTATGCTTGCTGGCTGGGATGCTGGAGTTTAGCGGTGGCTTGCGTGGTTAGTGAATGAGTTGGACACCCTGCCCCAGATCTCTAGAGAAAAAAATGCTCTCACTCATTATATAATATAGATTATGGGGGGAACGGTGTGACATAGTGGGTATTTGTGAACAGGGGGATTCATAAAGGTCTTAGAAAGAATTACTCACGAGCATCAGACTGTACTGTCAGTATTTCTTACTGTAATGAAATCCAATACTGCAATGCCTTTCTTATCTGGGGGTGACTTATCTGGCCATTAACAAATGACTTATTCTGTAATCAGTATAGAGAGAAAAAGCGCTGCTGTTGAACACACAATATAGATATCCCGAGTTTACCCACATAAAACTCATGTGCTTAGCTCAAAGGCAAGCTCTTTGAGCCTTTGCCAGAACATCCTCACTCTGTTTTTTCTTTTTTTTCTTCCCTGGTTTGGACCTTAGCTGCAATTGGAAGTCCGCACCTCAGCACCGTATGTGCCCGTGTGTTCATGGCCTTTCCCACGTGCTAGTTTATTTAGTGTTTTCTCTCCTTATGACATGCACTAATGTGTTTAGAACATGCTGTTTAAATAAATGAATACCATTTAAATTGGTGTGAGTAGTGATTTTTATATTTTTCCTTTGATGATATTCACTTGGCACGGTTTTCTAGCATTCATCTGTGTGGGTGAATGTTCATCTATCTGACTCTGTTGACTCCTGTTCCAGAATGTGTACCCACTGTGTTCTGCTCACCATACCACTTAAAGACACCGTTGTTGACTTAACCTACAAACCATGCTGTGAGGACCATTCTTTTTTGTGTTTCCCTGTAGTTCAGGGTAAGTGTGTCTGTGATGGTAACTGTAGAATGGGATTACAGGGAACAGGAGACTCATCTGCTCCACCTCCCACACTGCTGTTGCTCTCCAGAATGCTCTGTAATGCTCCACCACTCCTGTGAGAAGTACATTAGCCTTCCTGTTTCTACATTCTCATCCACTGCCTTAGCTGGGGTGTCTATTGCTGTGAAGAGACACCATGACCATAACAACACTCATATAGGAAAATATTTAATTGGGTGGCTGGCTTACAGTTTCAGAGGTGTAGTCCATTATCATCATGGTGGGACATGACTGTATAAAGGAAGATATGGTGCTGAAGAAGGAGCTGAGAGTGGAGAAGGAGCTATATCTTCATCCTGCAGGCAACAGGAAGTGAAGTGGACTAGGCATAGCTTGAGCATAGGAGAACTCAAAGCCCACCCCCACAATGACACACTTCCTCCAACAAGGCCACACCTACTTCAACAAGGCTACACCTCCTCATAGTGCCACTTCCTGTGAGCTTATTGGGGACCAATTACACTCAAATGATCACCTCTGTATACTTTCCCAAACTGATCTAGATATATTTTGAAGTTTGGAGTATTTTCTGGTTAATTGTGAGATGGAGTTTCTCTTTATACATTTATTAGTCATCTGGATTCCTGGTCCAGTACTCATCTATTCATAGCCTTATACATTTTGCTGTTGAATTTCTTGACTTTCTCATTAACTTATTGGAACTCTGTATATTCTAGACTTTCATTTACTTCACACAAACATTTCCTATTATCTTTTGTTGAGAAGAAAGTATTCTATATGTGGGAAAAATGGTTTAATTAAGAAAAATTTGGATTTATAGAAAAGTTAGAGAGATGCTACAGAGTAATCTTAACAGCTTCTCTAAGCTTTCCCTAGTTGCTAATGTTCACATAAGTTGTCATGTTAGTAAAAAAGCAAGGCAGTTATGTGGTATAACACTGTTAACCATAGAGATTCTGATTTCTCCAGCTTTACAGGGATTCCTTTGGTCTGTTCTAATATACAATTCAGGACACTATATTGCATTCAGCTGCCACATCTCCTTAGTCCTTATGTCTGAGACAGTTTCTCAGTCTCTCTCTCTCTCTCTCTCTCTGCATGCATATGTTTAATGATCTTTGGAGTTTTAAAGAGTACTGGTCAAGCATATTTGTAGAACGCATTCTGATTTGGGTTTGTCTGATGTTTTCTTATGGTCACGTTGAGCTTAGAAATTTTCTGAAAAAAGACCCTAGAAGCAATGTGTCTGTCTCATCAGATAACACCAAAGAGTATGTAATATGAAGAAAATTTATCACTGGCAGTGCTGTTCTCTTATTATATGATATAACCTAGGTTTTTCTTTTTTATGATGTTTTTAGAACACAAATCATTAAATTCAGCCCACAGTTAAAAGGAAGGCGAATCAAACTTTACTTTCCAGATATACATTGTTTGGAATTCTGTAAGGAAGAAGACAATTTTGATGTCAATGTAATAAAAGGTGCTAATTTTTAATCTCATGGCTTGGGTCTCTTTCCCTATATTTTTTCTGTATCCACATCATCATTCCTTAATCGTTAGGTTTTTAATCTACTTGTCTTTTTACCTTGGCATTATTTATGAAGTAAGATCCCCATTACAATGAGCTCCACACAGTTTATTTTTTTTCCCTAAATTGATTCACTTGTTGATTTATCATGTCACTTATGTTGGTTAGTTCTTGTCGACTTGACACAAATGTAGGCATATCTAGAAAGACAGAATCCCAACTGAGAAACTCCCTCCATCAGGGGATGTCTGTGGGCATTTTATTGACTGGTGATTCATGATGGAAGGCCCAGACCACTGTGGGAGGTCCTATCCCTGGGCAGGTGAGCACGGGCTGTATAAGAAAGTTTGAGCAAGCCAGAGGGAGCAAGCCAGTAAGCAGTGTTCCTCCATGGTGGTCCGCTTTAGTGCTTTAGTTTTGCCTTAAGCTCCTGCTCTGGCTTCCATAGATGATATACCTGAAAGTGTAGGCTGAAATAAAATCATCCCAAATTGCTATTGGTCACAGCAACAGAAAGCCAACTCAGATATCAGGTTATCTCATTTTTTCAACTTTTAGTTTGGAACTCTTTCTGGATTTTATTTTGTTCTACTAGACTCTTAGAATGGTTGCATCTGTATAATAGAACTAAGCATGAGCTTCATACTGTACCTTAAAGCTGTTAGAGAGAGTATAGTACATTAAATGTTGGCCTCCCTCAACATGCCCACATCCAAATCCTTGGCTCCTGTAAATGTCATTTTACGTGGAAAAGAGTCATTATAGATGTAATTAAGTAAAAGGTCTTGAGATGACGTTATCCTGGATTAATTGGGTGGGTGCTAACTATAATGACAAACACCTTTATAAGACTTTATAAGAGAGAAGAGAAGACATGAACATACAGAAGAGGTGATGTGAAGATGGAGACTGAGACTGGAAGGGTGTAGTCACAAGTCAAGGAAAGCTAAGGAATGTTAGCAACCCACAGACACTGGAACAATTGGGGACGGATTCTCCCACAGTGCTTCCAGAGGGACTGGGGCCCTGCCGACACCTTGAATTTCGATATCAAGTTTGTAGAGCTGTGAGAGAATGTCTGCTGTGTTAGGCCATCTTGTTGAGGAGATTTGTTACAGAAGCCCTAAATCTATTCTAGCGGATGATTGTCTCTGCTCTAGTTCTTCAAAATTATCTGTATTATTCATGGGTGTTTGTTTTTCTTTCCTTATTTTAGAGTTAGTTTAATGAGATATTAAAAATTCTACTGAAATTTTGCTTGTAATTCCATTAAATGTATGTTGATTTGTTGGAGACTTTATCTATACAATGCTAAATCATCCATAAGCATTGGGCTTTCCTCCATCAACTGTAATGTAATTTTCTTTTTGAAATTAGCCTTCATTGTTCGTTATTTGAGAACAATGACAATTTTGATTTTCTCTTGCAACCTTCATTTACAATTGGCCAAAGCACTGAGAGCTATGTAAAGTGGTTTCAGAAATAGTGAACATCTTTGTTTTATTTTCGTTATAAGAGAATTCATTAAAATTTTTCTTTTGGATCTTTTCATTTGACCCTTTTATTAACCTAAGGCATTTCCTTATTTCTGGCTTTCTGAATTATTTTCAGTTATAGGTAGAACTGAACACTACAAATTTGTAACACCTATTAAGATAATCAATAATTTCTTCTTTAATACCTTGATGTCTGTTCTCATTTGAATTTTGACCTAGGGTCCTTTAAGTGATCATATTTTGTGTGTGGTCATTAATAGCTTGTAGACCCTCCAGATCGGCATTCTCACATTCCACATAATTTCTTTGTGTCTGGTAAAACTGTGTTCTTTCCATTGCATCACATGAAGAGGCATACGGTACCAGTTTGTCCCTTTATTGCTGACTTTATTTAGGTGCTGTGCACTCCTGCACTGTCTTATCGTAAAGCTATGTGTTTTTTCCACTTTGAAATCAATAAGCTATTTCCACCTTAAAATCAAATCTGTGGGATATTACTTTAAGACCATTAGATATTCAATTTCTCAAATCCCCTTTTGAGCAATGGTTTTATTATAGAGTAATGATCTTCACCTGAAGAATTCCATAATTAGTTGTGGATGGTGGTGATTCCCTTCTTCCACCGTTTTCTGAATTTATTAGTATTTTTCTGAAAACAAGATTCCTTTCTCTCTTTTTTTAGTATAATTGTGAATTCAAGGATCCTTTAAACACATGCTTGATTTAATAGGCTTTGAAGGTGCATTTAAGTTGTTAGCTGCATTTCTTGATTTGTTGGTTTCTGCCCTTAGTTTTACTAGTCATTGCCTTACATGCCAGGGCTTCATTATCAGTGACATGTATTTATAATTCTGGCATCTTGGTTGCTTCCTGTGGACTGGTGACAATAACATGGTAGCTAGTAGTGGTGGTGTCTCCGTGGCTTGTGCCGAAGATTAAGCAAGCCAGTGCGAGGAGAACTTAGATGAGGGTTTACGTGGTGCTCAATAAGTGTTAGCAGTTAAGCTCGGCAATTCTGTTGTTGTAGCTTTCGGCTCATTGCCTGTTTTGCCTGTCTACACACACACACTCTCTCTTCTCTCTCTTTGGCTCTTGTGTCTCGTACACTGGTTTCTAACTCGTCTGAGATGGATAATGCTAGTCCACGTCTCTTTGGTTCATAACTGCCTATTATATTTGTTTCTAAAAATTGTTTATGCTTTTAGAAAACTCATACATAGCCCTTAAAAGATGTCATTTTATGGTGATTGTGTTCTTGCCCAATTTGGAGCCTCTCTTGTTTGGTGAATTTAATCCTCTCATCTTTCATACTACTGTTACATGTAGAGCTATTTTCACCACCTTAGCCTATGTTTTCTGTATATTATCATTTTTGCCACTTTTCT